GTGCTTCGTGATTAATAAATCAGATATAAATATCAGAATATTCCAAGAGAAAATAAGGCTATACTGTATAAGTTTTATATGATTAAAACCTGTTTTTCCTTGACGTCGCTCATGTATTAGTATGTATTATATTTTAAGTTAACCGTAAGTTAACCAGATTATAAATATTAATCCGTTAATAGTCTTTTAATCCTGTTATCCGGGTAAGCTAGTGGTTAGCTAGTTATCATAATTTAGGTATGATTATTATTACCGTAAACGGATATATAAGATCCTCCTGAATAGTAGGCCACTATTAATTTGCGAAATGAGTAGCAATATTGGATGTTTTGGATATTTTATACCATATCCATGTTATACGGTAATTCATAAATTTACGTTTCTGGTTTCGCGTGACAGCGTCGCGCAGCTACCTTATGGTTATATTGTAAGATATAAATGTTAGCTTAGAAGTGAAAACTATAGATCGTTATAAATTTTATATGTGCTGCAACTTGTAGATCCCTTAATTAATCATTACCCTGAAAATTTTCTATTACTATCTCAAAATGAGTTATATGTCAAAATGGGCCCTTTTAATACGAGGCACCCCATATATCATTTGAATATTTGATAATTGCTACCGGACTTAATTATTCTAAACCCGCAAGGATGGCAACAAATAATAAAGAAGAGAGTATTGCAGAAATAATCGCTCAAAGAAAAGCAATAAAAATTGCGGAGAGGATATTGATTATTGGTAATCAAAATTTTCAATGTATTAATTGTTATTAGTTTATTAATTCTTTATCATTTACTATTTGTATTAAATAGAACTTGCAGGAAAAATTGCATCAATTTACCATGACAATGAGATTGCACTTGTTCATTCAGAAGATCATTTGCTTATGGATAAATTTTCAAAAAAAATGACAGATCTTCTTGCTAAGCAATCGAGAGAATTAAATGTAAAGCTTATCTTTGAAGAAAAGTTAATTTTCCTTCTTCTGGAATTGGCGACGGTTTGTCTCAACTTTGGAAACTGACAAGGTAAATGTTTAGTTTATATTTTCTTTTATATATATAATATTATCATCAAATTCAAACTCAAATTCCCTTATTTTTTTATAGGGTACACGAATTGAGTCCGACGTTCAATTCTTAGCTTTTGGTGCGAAGCCCAACATTGAAGTTATAAAAATCTTGGATCAATCATTAATCGAGCAAAATGCTACTCTAGTAAAAACTAAGCCAACACTTCAATTGGAACATGATAATTATACACATATATTTGCTCTCGGGGACGTAACAAATATTAAAGAATCAAAACTTCTTATCGTGCTAACCTTCACGCTGATGTCGTAACTAAGAATATTATTGCACTTATTAATAATAAATAATTGGTTGAATATAGCTTAGGTCCTGAAACTATGATGGTTCCCATTGTAAAGGTATTGTTTTATTTTTTCTTTACATTGTTCGCAATTTTTATTTATTTATTTTTTTATTAAATGCATTTTCTAATGTTAACATTCTTTCTTCAAAAATTAGAATAAAGGCGCAGCTCATTTACCAATTGGTAACATGGTCGTTGGTAGTTTCATGCCGAAAAATTTCAAGGGCAAACTTTTATGGTCGATAAAATATGGAAACCATTAAATGCAACATTTACTGCATAAATCGATTACTATAAATTTTTATAAATTTGCACACATACCCATTATACCCATATATTCATCACTTTTATTTGGTCATTCCAAATAACATAATGTGCCGGTTTAAGTTGGTTATAATTTTATTTTAGTTAAATAGAGTATGAATATTAATTTTAGAAATTAAATAGATCAACTCTCTCTCTCGATACTCATTCTCGATACTCATTCTCGATACTCATTCTCGATATTCATTCTCGATACTCATTCTCGAACAATAATTATTACATACTCACTGCATCAAGTTTCTTTATATTTATTACAGATAAGTTTATTAAAGAGTAGTGAATAATTTAATTATAATGAACTACGATATTTACCTCAAAAATGAATATATTACTGTAATAATTAATATCTTGTACTTTACAAGAAAATACTAGCTTTTTTGCGGTAATTATATAATACTTGTCGATTCATTGTAATTATTTTCTGATATGAATAGTATAAAAGGTTACTTCACATTATGAGTTTAGAACGATATTTGTTAGTACATATCCTTATTTGCTTGTTATTGTATAAATCCGATAGAAACCGCAAAAATATGAAATTGTAGAATTAAGCATACAAAAAGAGAACAGACAAGACATTCAAAGTTATGAGTTACGGTTGTGAAAGTTAAAAATTGGTGCGCTGTTAATCATGAAGTGGAGATGTGAAGATCTTTTTAGACTTGTTCAATCTCTTGAGTATAAAATAGATATTGTAAACTGCTAATTGATACTGTATATTTTGATTTTTACAATGAAAGGATTTGTATCCGGATATATATATATATATTGTTACTAACCTTCAAAGTTTTCTCTAAAGTATAGAGGTAGCATTTTTTAAAGTATATTTTGCTGTATATTATCATTGATGTATTTGTAAAGAGAACGGATAGGTTAAGCAAAGTTCTATGAATCAAAATTTCAGATTCCAAATTCTGGATGTCAAAATTTTGAATGGGTAATTAAAAAAAATTTTTTTTTTTTGAGGCATAATGGTAACTAAATATAAAAAGAGATAAGTCAAGGATCAATTGTATTAATCAATTGAACCATTTGAATTACTAAGAAATTACACTATTACTGCAATATTAAGTGTTTGAAAACCTCAGATCAGGTCTACAGCTGCCTTTTTAAAGATAGAACTCAATGTACTGTGTTAGCTGTTCTTGTAATAAGCATAACAATTGCATTCCTATTATAAAAATCTCTTTCTTTTCTTAAAATACTTGTTCAAACGCTTTATCGTGCCAAATGTATTGGAATTAAATTTCAATTGACGGAAAATATTTTAAACGATTAAACGTGCTTGCTATTACAGTCAACAACCTTTTTGTCTCAATCTATCTTTTTTTTTTCTTTTGCATAACTTATCAAAACTTTATAACTATTAAACTTTATAAGGTTATGTTCAAGTATTTCACATTCTATTATGGGTCTTTGTACTCTTAAATTGCATATAATCGATCATCTTTATTTTGATCTATCGCGGCAATTGATAATCGATCTTTATTTTGATCTATCGCGGCAATTGAACATCGCTACTTCTGTACTTGAACAAATCTCAATAATATCTCCATTCTTACTTTTGATTTTTTATATAAAACGTTATGAGAATAACTAAAATTACGTCATAATAATTGTGCATTACCTTTAATATCCTACATCACAAGGTCATTTTTTTATAAAATCTACATAGCTCTATCAAGTTATATAAATGTTATATAAAAATTTTATTTA